GACATTATCTTATGGTGATACGTCAACGTTATAGTTAATTTTTTAATAATGGGTAACCAAAATAAAACAAAAATATAACGTTATGTATGATTTCGAAAAAATAGATGGATAAAAAAAATTAACAAAAATGATAGTTCAGAAACTAAACGTAAAATATACCTAGAAAATATTAATAACTCACTCTCCTAATATTATAATGAGTGAAGGATTGGGAGCCGAAAGTTGGAAGAAAATGCACACTTGTTAGAACTAAAAAAGAAGAAAAGGGAGCCTAGGAGTATACACACCTATTCTCCAATGTAAAGGGAAGAGGGTATCTTATTTACAACTAACAGACAATAGTAGTTTGAGGTTTGAGAATAAAAAATTTGATACTATATATAGTATTATTCCATTACTTTTAAGACTTATAAGTCTCTCAAATGCTAAGTGCTACCATTGCTAGTGCTTTTCTTTGTATAGCCAAGCCAAACCATATACGGATAGATAAAAGGATTCTTTTAAGGGTAAATAATATTAGTACATGGGGTCCCTTGGATGGTAGTTCCTAACCAACCAATAATATGGGTTTAGACCTACCATGTGAGCTTGCAATAGAATAATATGGATTATATAATCTAATATAGTTATATACGGATTTTCAGTTTAGATTTCACCAAAATCACTTTAAAACTTATAAAACTCAACCTTAAAATCAAATCTCATAAAATCGTAAATTACTATAATCTATAATACTCACCATCCGATCAACATGAAATCGAGATATACAACTCACTTCCTTCTCCTTCACCTCTCAATTGTTGGGATTTGTATCAGAAGATGTTTCAACATCGAGAAATCAAATGAAATTCTAAACTAGGGATTTTTTCATCAAAATGAAGAAAGTTTTGGGGTCATTTCATATTTTTCAAAATAAAGATATCCACTCACAACATCGTTAAGTATTTAAGGACGGAGTAACCCAAATATGAGTGAATCAAAAGTTCAATGAATCAATTAAAAAAATAAAATTTAAAGACCAAAATTTGAGTGAGATGAAAGTTGAGTGATGAAATTTATAATTTACCTTTGTTTAAATTACGAGATTCGAATATAAATCCATCTCTCTACACACTCTATTCAAAAGTGGGTTTTATTCTATTTAATTGTTTATGCTTACTTTAGCTAAGCACTCTAACTTTGATTATATGTATAAAAGATACAAATATAATATAAATACACGAATTATAGAATATGTACAAACCATTACCATAAATACTCTAATTAGAAGCTTTATCTTAACCTCTATGATCCATCACTGTCATCATGTGAATTCGGTTAAGGCCATTAACTAAAAGGGTAGGGTTAAGGGAATATATTACAAATAATATAATCAATAAGCTTTATCAGTTTATCTAATATATTATTTGATATTATAAATTCAGTCCATCTTTCTTACAGTTACAATTGTGTAATTCAATTTGAAATTTTCCTTTATTGATATAGTTGATGATTCCATTGTTTTGCAAACTACTTTGCTTAGATAAGATTAGATATATATACCAAAATGTAAATATTGTTTCCTAAACATGTCATTAGCATTTTAAATACAAGTGTCATTAGTGAAATGAAATATATAATCTAATCATCATGAAAATTAGTGGGATATGAAATTAAAGTAATTAAAGCAAAACACTTTTGGATGTACTTAAATTATTCATACCTGATTGTTTTTGAATAGTTAAAGATGATTATAAAATATTATATGTTTAGAATCTTTCATAGCAATTAACAATACACATACACTTTATAGATGTAGCTACTCGGATCCGGAGCCTCTAAAGAAAATAACACTCTCTTCTACCACTAAGATCGTACGATGAGTTCTTTATATCGAAACCTTTAAATCAAAAGTAATTATATTTCAGTATACTTAAATTCACTATCTCTTAGATGTTACCATTAATATTCAATCAACAAAATTAAAATATATTTTGATAGGATGAAAGGTAATAGTTTAATTTTGATATAAAATAATAAAATTAGGTCGAGAGTACATATAGTCATGTGCTGTGGACCTTCAATTTGCCTAAGTGGAAAGGTTTTTCTTTTTAAAAATATGTTTCTCCACACCTAAAATGATTGCAAAGAGTCTCCACACTATATATTTTTGTGTATATATGTAAGTTCAAAGAAGAGCTTTTCAAGCCCTTCCTTTAAAACAAAACACAAAGAAACACTTTGGGTTCCATAAAAAAAAATCATTGTGCCACATTTGATGCATCTATTTGATAAAGACACGTTGATTTGAAAAGAGAATGATAAAAAAATGCCAAAAACTAAACAAAAATAAAGTAAAATTTCAAATAGGCCAATGGTTTAAGTTTGGGGAGAAGAATCTTAGCTTTATGTGAATCATGATCTTCCACTCCCTTGCAACTATATATATATCGGGATGGATTGAAAGAGGCAGGTGAGAACGATCACCTTCTTAAAAATTTAAATTTCTATATATTTTAAATATTTTTTCTATACTTTTTATTAAAAATATATTTTTGTTCTCCATTTAATTTAATAAATTTGCTTCGTAATATAAAATTATATTTTTTTTATGTATATATTACTATATAAGAGATAGAATCTGCAGGTGGGTCATTTTTTCCACTGTTTCAAAGCTTCTTTCTGTTTGAAATTTCTAATCACTTCTAATAGGTTTGATTAGACAGTCGTGGGAAGTTGGCTTTTCTTCATGATATAAAGTATACTTGATTAATATATACTTGAGATATATTTTAGAGAAGGTTTAAATGTGATAGGGTTAATTGTAGTCTTTTAAAATTTCAAATTTAGTCCTCGTGTTTTTAACTGTGACATTGAGTTTTGTATTGTTTTTAATTTGATAAATTCCATTATTTTCCTAAAATCTGTTTAATTTTATGATTTAGTATTGACCTCGCAACTATAAAAAAATTATAAAGTAATTATTTTAATCTCCTACATTTTCATTTTTAATCAATTTAGGCCTTAATTTTTTATAAATGGAGAGGTAATGATTTTTAAGATAAATATCGAGATTCAAGCCCATACAAAATGGGATAACATGAATATCTTTGATTACTCGATTAATTAATGGATCTCAATTTGACCCTTAATCTTTAAAACTAAATAAATAATCCATCAAGCGACCTCAATGGTTAAAGAGAGTGTTGTTCACTCCAGAGATCTCAAATTCAAGTACCTATGTCTGCAGGGTGTGTGCGTTGCTGACAAGTGTCGAAAGGATCGATCCACTAATACTAAGATGATTCCAATTGATTCCTTATTTCTCGACCTTGACTAACTACGAAATTTGCCACGTCAGACTCGAACAATGTCGTGTCCCAGGTCGAGCCCATGACTCCTACCACGACTCCTAGAAAAATTCCATAATCTGCCTTGAACTATTAGTTTCGGCTAATTAATCACAATATGCAACATTCAACACTTATCAATTGTCAATGACAAAAAAAGATAATGAACATGTATTATATTATAATTAGTCAGATTATTTTAAAAATAAATAAATAAAATTCATCATTAATTGAATAATATAATTTTTATTCCGAATAGATGTGAGCCTAGACAAGGCAATTACAAACACATATATGGACCTAACATATCGCGATCTAGTAGTTTGCTCATATCAGGAGGATTACTATCAAAAGTGCGAAGTTCGTCGTGAATACCATCATGGATTTAATTTTATCAATAAAAAATTCAAATTTTCTAGAAGGTCCGTCCCTAGTTGAACATAAACGGCCGAAAATGCTATTAGAAATGCATGGAGAAACAGCAACAAAGGATTGGTTTAAAAGAGTTCCTTTTTCTTTCTTTTGGCTCAATGTGATTCATGAGCTATAGCTTTAATAATTTTCTCCTCAATTATAATCTGAATTTTAGCATTATTACCACCCCCACCAATGAAGGTTTGCCATGCAAGATCGACTCAAATTGATTTCCAAATTCCAATTGCTAAAATATATTTAATTTTCTTTTTGATGTTATGAGTGCATGACACAAATCCCCACCAAAGGAAATGGTGAGGAAACTAATAGAGTGTTAATCAAACAATAAAAATAATAATAATAATAAAAGGATATATTAGTGGGGTGGAAAAATGGGGTGTTCGAGATACACTTAATAGACTTACAATTTGAGGGGGAAAAAGATGAAAATATAGGATGATAGTGCGCTTATCCCACCAAATTTCTAGATAGGATTAGATGTGAAAGGCAAAGGCTATTGACAATGGCCAAAGGCCAACAAATTCGAATCAAAATTCATTGTAATAATATAAGCACAATCACAAAGAATTATAAAATAAAAAATATTAAGATTTATTGTGAAAAAAAACTCTTTCGAGAAAATATCACATACAAAAGAGAAGAGAATACACTATGTTGAAAAAGAGTACAAGAAATTTGCATCTAAACGTGATTTAAGATTTAATTAAATTACTTCTAAATCATCCCTAATATCTGTGTATAAGGATACATTTATTGTTTCAAAAGGAAACTTACATAAAAAGAAATTTACTTTTCTACTTTCGTCATCTTGCATTATGTTTAGAACTTTTTTGATCTAACCCAAAATGTTACATTAGATCTGATGCATGTAAACTCTTTTTTAAAGATTTATGATTTAATCCCTAAATTCATTAATTCAAATCCGGATACTAAAACTCAAATTTAATGCAAATAATAATTGGGATGTAAAGGAGATAAGATTAAAATTTTAGTAATTTTTTTTATAAATTATTAAATTATAAATTTTCCAAAGAAATCATTTCCTTGAACATGGGATGGAATGATAAAGAGTACAAATTCTATGTGCACCCAAAGAATAATTGGGCTTGAAAGGATGGTATAGGGTCGGATCATAAAAGGAATCCAATTCTTTTAACCCAAAACCCATACGACCCGAAAGCCCAAAACCAACCCTCACAAAGGAACCGGTGAAACCCTAGTCCCGTATTCATATGTTTGTTGTAGTGAAACACTTTTACCGTCAAAGCTTCACAAATCTAGGGTTTTTGCACCAGTAGAAGAAATGGTACTGGCATCATCATCAATATTATATTTTTGAAATGATACTCTTTGTTTCTGTTTTTTTATAGAGAAAACTGAAATATATTGTGAATTTTCTTATAGGGAAAAGGAACTGGAAGCTTTGGAAAAAGAAGAAACAAGACTCACACACTCTGCGTCCGATGTGGACGCCGAAGCTTCCATCTCCAGAAGAGCCGTTGCGGTGCTTGTGGCTACCCAGCCAGCCGCATCCGAAAATGTAAATTCCCTTTGGATTCTCTCCTGACTCTATTTGTTTGTCATTTTAGCTCTGTTTTCAGTTTTGTTTGGTGAAATTAGGTTAAAGTTGGTAAATTAGAGTTACCTGTGTTCTTGATTTAGATCCAACTCATCATAAGCCGTTTTCCGCGCTGATTGTTTTGATCTTTAGTGTCTTGGCATATGCTTGTCAATACTTGGTTGAAAATAGAAGCTGGATTTGTTGCTGATTATGTGTTCTTTAGTGGCTTTAATTGCAATATTTAGCTTGGTTCGAATGATTTGCTGAATTGTTTTTGTGTTTTTTGGCTTCAGATAATTGGAGTGTGAAGGCTATTAGAAGAAAGACGACCGGGACTGGCCGTATGCGGTACCTCCGTCATGTGCCCTGCAGATTCAAGACTGGCTTTAGAGAAGGTACTAGACTATTTCTTATAGTATTGTAATTTGTTCGAAGTTTAATTTAACATGACTTTAGTATCTAACAACGGGCTATGGTTTAACGCTTGGCAGGTAATCAAGCAACTCCGAGGAAGAAGGCAGTTGTTGCTGCTTCGTAAGTTAATCGCTGTGTTTTTCTTTTGAGATTCCAATAAACTCAAGTTTTGTGTTGTTATCAACTGTACGTTACTTTTATGTTTCAAGTAATATTTACAAAATGATAAGTTCCATTTTATCTTGTGATATAGTGATGTTGTCATCCATAGATGTTTTGTTTTCTATTTACTGCTCTTGAGATGTCATTATTTTGAGGTTTCATAGTATTTTTCTTTTCTGGGCATGGGAAAAAATCCGAATGAGGGTTGAATGTGGCTCCGTGTAATGTGCTTTTACAATTAAGTTGGGCATCAATACTTGAAATATCGTGAGAACTACCAAATAGTAAATAACCAGTATCAAATAAATCATGTCAATCGCAAGAATAATTACGACATAAAACAGTATCTTAAAATACAGGCACATGTCACCAAATAAAGGTAGTTTTAAAGATGGAAATAGTGTAGCAAAAAGTACTGAAGGTGATGTGTCAATCCTCCAAATGTCAAGTATCAATGTCTATCCAAAAGTATTTGAAAATGAGAAAGTTGAGGAGTAAGCGAGGGAACTTAGTGTGTTCCAATATGCGCAAAATAAAGCATACAAATAAGTTTCCATACTTATTCAGTATCATAGTTTGAAAACAAATGTGATTTTTTTATTTAAAACGTCGATCTACCCTTCAACTATATACAATATGTTAGTTTCCCAGAACTGCATCTACAAGGAATTACTCTAATCTCAGTAGACGTAGGACATACATACATGTTCTACATTTATTATACACACATACATATACATAATACATGCATCTTATACATACATTCTCATGCATCAATATATTTTTATAACATTTTCTAAATAAAAGTATTAATTGAGATGTTAAACTTTTTTTTTAAATGAATGCAATTTAATCTAATTTGATATTAATTTCAGCTTTATATTCTACAATTATTTTAATTGATCACTTTATTTTGTTTAAATTATTTAAATTTTAGTTTGAAATTTTATGTTTGTTCAATTTAATCCTTAAAATTATATTTTTATTTGAAATTGGCTCATATTTATATTTTTTTTAATTTACTTCAAACCTTATAAATCACATCATAAACTTCATTTCAAACCCTATAAATCTCTATCATAATCTCCAAAACCTTATAAAATTTTGTTCATTAACTTTTTAAATGAATGCAATTTAGTTCGTTTTTTATATTAATTTCAGCTCCACATTTTACAATTGTTTCGATTTGACCCCTGTGTGTTGTTTAATTTATTTAAATTTTAATTTGTAATTTCATGTTTGTTCAATTTACTTTTTAAAATGATATTTTTATATGAAATTGGAACATACTTATTTTTTTTAAATTACTCCAAACCCTATAAACCACATCACAAACTTTATTTCAAACTCTATAAATTATATCATAATCTCCAAACTCTATAAACTTTTGTTCACCAACTTTTTAAATAGATGCAATTAATTCATTTTTATATTAATTTCATCTTCACATTTTACAATTGTTCCAATTTGATCGCTCAACCCTGCGTGTTTTCTAATTTATTTTCAGTTTGTAATTTCATGTTTGTTCAATCTAGTCCTTAAAATTATATTTTTATCAAAATTTACATATAATTATTTTATTTTTTTGTAATTTACTCTAAATTCTATACAATTACAAAATACAATTCGACGCTAATGAAATGCATAGAATAATTAACCTAAAACTGAACTAACCTGAAGCCCATTCGTACTTGATAAGATCCGAGATGTGACCCGATCTTAGAGAGATCCGACCTGAAATTTACCCGAACCTGAATTAATTTGATATTTAACTGATTCAGACCCGACCCGTTTTGACATGAACTGATATTAATCCGATCTGAAATTAATCTAACCCCAACCCGAACTAAATCTAATTTCAAATCAACTTGAAAATGACTCGTATCTGATTTGACTTGATCTGATATGATCCTACCTCTCTGTATTAAATCCATGATTTTTCTTCCCAATAATAACTTTTCGCAGATTCACTTAGTACGGATTTGATTAATACATATCAATTACTTAAATATAAAAGATGTTCGGAATTCCCATTTTCTAGTTCTACTTTCTTTTTAAAAAAACATATTAATATACAAAAAAATTATAGATGTTCATATGGGAAGCCTGAGGAAGTGGGGATCCGCAAGAAGTTAACTGCTTCCAAACAAAGAAAATTAGTAAATAATTAATGATGAACGTTGATCTGCTGATGTCACAATTTTATTATTGTTGATATCATCCGCATAGACGACAGACGTACGAAAGAAGAGAGTCAAATTTAATTTTGGAGCGAATTGTTGTTTTTTGAATCATTTCCCCAATCATCTCTCAATTCAAAGATGGCGAGGTCTGGAGCAAAACGGGACGTTGCGAGATCGATAATGTTGAATTTCATTAACTTTGGGTTGGCTTTCGTGTTAGTTTCGGCTGATAGGAGCTTGAAGGATGGAGAATCGGGCGAGGAATCCGAAACCAATGAAAATTATTTTGCCAGAGCTGTTAGTTTCTCATGGAAATCTGATCAACCAGGTTATCAACATGTTTGGCCCGTAAGAACGTATTCGAACTGAAATTCTAATGTGATTTCTTTTGATTTACATCATTTCGTAAGAACATGTTCATTTGTTCTATTTTTCTTTTTTTGGTGTAGGATATGGAACTTAATTGGCGATCTGTGGTGGGAACTTTTATTGGCTTTTGTGGAGCAGCGTTTGGGAGCGTAGGAGGGGTAGGCGGAGGTGGCATTTTCGTTCCCATGCTTAGCCTTATTGTTGGATTTGATCCAAAGTCCGCCACTGCTATTTCAAAATGTATGTTTTTTTTATATTTATTTTAAATATTTGCAACCGTATGAAGAAATGGGAAACTGATTGCAGAATTTGAAGAACTTGAATGCTGTTAAGAAATTATTAGGAAAATAGATGATTCTTACGCTGGATGAGATAAATGATTCTTTGTTTTCTCGCATTTTCCTAGGTATGATCATGGGTGCAGCAGCTTCAACCGTGTACTACAACCTTAATCTAAGGCACCCCACATTAGATATGCCTATTATCGATTATGATTTGGCTCTGCTTATCCAGCCGATGCTCATGCTTGGGATTAGCATCGGAGTCGCGTTTAACGTGCTCTTCGCCGATTGGATGGTCACGGTTTTACTTATTTTTCTCTTCGTAGGTAAGTTGTTTGATGATTTGTTGCTGTCTTTGCTGGGGATAATGTTCTTTTAGCAGTATCTGTCAATGTCGATGGTATGGCTTGTAGGAACATCAACTAAGGCATTCTTCAAGGGTGTTGAAACGTGGAAAAAGGAAACCATACAGAAACAGGTAGCAACATATTTTGAATCCTAGTCTCTTACTGATGTGGACAGAATTATGAGCTCTGCATATTTTTCTCCTTTCCATTGTGATTTCCAATATGAGTTTAAGTTGTGTGTGTGTGTGTGTGTTATCAGAATTAATTGCTACCTATCTGAAATCTGCTTGTCTTGGATTTTAGGAGGCTGTCAGGCGCTTGGGAACAAATGGTCAGTTGCCTTCTTTCTCCACTATGTCTTTAAGATCATTGGTGATCCCCTCTTGATAATCCCATATATCTCTCATATGATTTCAGGTACTGCGAGTGATGCGGATTACAGACCTCTTCCAGGTGGCCCAAACACTGACCGTCCGAAGGATAACGCAGACACAGAAGTAGGTTGACTGTAAATCCCACTGTTACTTTCAGTTTTCTCTTGAACTTATTCAATGTTATCATTGCAGGTCACTATTCTGGAGAACGTTTTCTGGAAAGAACTTGGGCTTCTTTGTTTTGTTTGGGTGGCATTCCTCATAGTGCAGATTTCCAAGGTTTTGTTTCTTCAGCTCTATTTACTGCTCTAAGTATCTGTAAAATATGAATTGTTGAACCAGAACTGATACAATACAACTTTTGTCAACAGAACCGTACAACAATTACTTGTTCTGTAGGGTATTGGGTGATGAACTTGATCCAGGTACCTTATAATCTTTTTCACTTCGGTTGCCTCTTTTTCATTTGTTGAATTGCATGGTCATGATTTAATGTTTGAGCATCATGGATCAATGATGATATTTGCCAAAACGGTTTTTTCAAAATCTCGTTCAACACGTCCTTTGTGTTCCCCCAGATCCCAGTTTCAGTTGGAGTGACTCTGTATGAGGCAGTCGGTCTATACAAAGGACATAGAGTAATAGCATCCAAGGGAGAGCAGGGCACAAATTTTACGGCTCAGCAGCTTTTTAGCTACTGTTTTTTTGGAGTGCTAGCTGGGATTGTTGGAGGTCTACTTGGCCTGGGTGGAGGGTTTATCATGGGTCCATTGTTCTTGGAGTTGGGTATCCCCCCTCAGGTGAGTCCCTTATATGCTCAGTCGAAATCTATAGTAACATGATCCCATTATCTTTAGGCTTCTTATCAACATCTGGTGTAGGTCTCAAGTGCCACGGCAACCTTTGCCATGACATTCTCCTCGTCCATGTCGGTAGTAGAATATTACCTTCTGAAACGTTTTCCAGTACCTTATGGTAAGTCTGTAACTCGAAACGACGTGATTATCACATTAAAGTGTATATTTAATCATTTGATTGCAGTGATGACTTGTTCTCGTGCTTTCTTTGTTGGCAGCACTTTACTTCACTGCAGTGGCTACCTTGGCTGCCATTGTTGGACAACATGTTGTGAGAAGGCTGATACTTTTATTCGGAAGGGCGTCTCTGATTATCTTCATCCTAGCATTCACCATATTCGTTAGTGCAATATCACTAGGTGAGCTCCATTTTACAAAAAAAAAAAAAAAAAGTTGTAGTTTACCGATAGAAGAACAATTGCGGATTCGAATCCCGAATGTCATCTCTTAAAGATAAACTACGTGAATAGTTGGTTATTTATCGAACGATGCGACACTGTACGAACTCTGAAATATGTTTTGGGTATGATTTGGTAGGTGGCGTTGGCATATCGAACATGATCGGAAAGATTCAGCGGCATGAATATATGGGATTCGAGAACCTGTGCAAGTATGATGGCTAACACTTGAGGCATTCTTCTTTACCATGTCTCTTCATTTAAGTACCCTAGTGCTTTTTTTGTTTCTCAAAGGCAGTCAAATTGCCTGGTATTGCTGCTTCTTTTAATTTTCCAATTTTTTCCATGTAATTTTGTACCATATGGTATTCTACATTTTAATTTTTCATCCTTCACGTTGTCAAAGAACCTACACATATTCATGGTTTATTTAATACTTATGATATTAATAGGTCTAAATGAGACAAGTCCTATATTATTGAGTTTAATTCGATTCGAAAAGTTTAAAATTGAATTTGACTTAATTATTTAAAAATTTATATTGAAGTACTATATAATTAAATTATAGACTTTAAACATAATTAAATGTTTAAATTTATACTCAATTCAATTACATATCAACCTCGTATCGATTTATTAAAATTATTTTAATTAAAAGTAATTAATTATCATTATTTAGAAGGTATTAACATAATTTTTTTTGAATAAAATATAAAATTACAGAAATGAAAGAAGAAGACCTGAGTTTATCTCAAAATTAATACATAACTATATTCAAATTAAGTTAAATAATTAAAATATACTTTCATGAGAATTTATTGAAAAAATGAAATGAAAGATAATAATTATCATTCATCAATAAATTTACTTATTTTAATTGAAATGTCTAATTATGCTTAAGCTTTTTTACTATTTGAATTTTTGAAAATTAATCTTTTAGACTTAAAAGAGAAAATAACTTGTCATTTATTTAATTTTAATAAAAATAAAAACAACCCGCAAAATTTTTTGTAACGTTTATACAATTAAACTTTCAATTTCTCCAATTATAACATTTAACTTTGATTTTAACTTCAATTATATCACAAAATTGTTAAATTTTAATGGCACAATGACACTGATAGATCTTTTTATCATTGTGATAACATTGACAAAATTACGTTGTTTTGACTAAAAATATTTATACTAAAAAAGATTTTGGTATCGCTCATCCTAAGTAGTCTTTCGCTGCAAGATCGGTACCAAAATTTTTGTATTTCACTTCACTTTTTTCTCATAGGACTATTTACCCACGAAACACACTCAAAATCGACAAAAATATGTTTAAAAGTTCGACATGCTAATATTATGATTTCTTTCGATGATTGTCTGATAAGATTAGTTTTAAGATATGTTGTTTGTCTCTCGAAATAATATTTCTCACCATTAAACGAACACCTAAAATTCTCAAATCTATGAAAGTCCTAAAACCCGTAAATGGAAAAAATTGTTTGTTTAATTTTGTCGATTTTAAGTGGATTTTATAGAAAATAAATTATTGAAAAAGAAAGAAGAGAGTAACATGAACATTTTGATATCGATCTTACCACAAAAAAAGATCGGTGACAGACGGTTATTAGTTGTCGATGATGGTTGAAAAACTGAATTGCAAAAAATGAAACCACTTAAAAATTCAATGACAAAATCGATACATTTCTAAAATTTAATATCTAAAATGATATTATTTTAGACTAATCACATTAAAATGATATCATTTATATCATCACATAATTTAAATTTTAACAATTTAATGATATAATTAAAGTTAAAATTAAAATTTAATATCATCATTAATTATACTAGTCTTGAAATGAGATAGGCTGGTAGGCGTTTGTAGACGGGTCTCCCAAAATTTCCTTAACCGTAGGAGGGGGGGGGGGAAACCCTAATTTTGTCTCTGGCTTCCCAAGAGACGAAACTAAAGGGGGAATTTTGAAGGAAACGAAATGGTATTTTACTACAAAGCCCGACCAGAAGCTGGCGATTACACCATCTTAATGGGTCTTGATAAGGACGTGAACGAGGAGCTCATCAAATACGGCTTCGTTGAAGATATCTGGTATTTACTTATTTGATTTTCTTTCCAGATACATTGTAATTTCTTTTACATAAATATTTCGCCATTGTTTCTATAAATGAAAGAAAATTAGGTTTCTTTTTCCCTTTCATCGTTTAGAACTATATATGAATTTTGGTGATTGGATTTTTGCAGGTTTCATGTGGATAAAATGTCTTCTGCCCATGTTTATTTAATACTTCAAAAAGGTCAAACCATTGATGATATAAGCGAAGGGTTGCTCGAAGATTGTGCGCAGCTTGTTAAAGCTAATTCCATCCAAGGTTTATTTTAATTTCATCAATTTTTTTTTTGTAAAAATGTAATTTTAATATGTTTTACATAATAATTTATTGAGTTGCGATTTATGTATATTTTTAATTTTCATGTGAGTTTTGGCAACAAGGTAAACAATATTGATGTTGTTTAACACTCCATGGTCCAATTTGAAGAAAACTCCTTCCATGGATGTTGGCCAAGTTGGCTTTCACAATTCCAAGTTGGTAAAACTTCTTTGTTACTTTGATTGTTGTCGCTATTACGATCTTTTTCTTTTTCCTTTTCCTTTGAGTTCTAGAATGGATCATTTTTATGATTTTATCTTGCGATTTAGGTTCGGACTGTTAGAGTAGAGAAGCGGATAAACGAGATAGTTAACAGGTTGAACAAGACTAAAGTGGAAAGGAAACCTGATTTGAAAGGTATGCGAATGCCCGAGGTTCCATTTTCACTTAGGATTAACAATAGTATTATAATTGTTACGGAAGATAGTGTGATTTCTGTCTTTTTCTAGGCTGCTTGGTATACACAGTAATGTAGGTTTTTCCCTTTGCATCTTCAATAGTATACTACAACTCATTTAGTATGTTGAAGTTAGAATTCTTTTTTTTTATCTTTGATTAAACTAATGCCGTTAATATAATATGTTGTTGCAGCCGAGAAAGAAGCAGTTTATGCAGCCGAAAAAGCAGAGAGAAAGCAACAGCTGAGGGAAAAGGTGAGCTCCTTTGTCTTTGTTTTTCCCCCTCTTATTTCATCAATTTGATATTGGCTACATTAGCTTATGGTCTTTGGTATGCTATTGAACATGGATATCCTTACTGGTTGTAGACAGAAAATAAAAGTTATCCTACTTGATTTTGCTTAGGGTGAGAAAGTAGTTATATTGTAGCACTCATGAAGCTGAGGCAGGAGTGAGATGATCCATAAAGAATAAAGCAAAGGACATTAGTTTTCATTTAGTGTTAAATATACGTACAATGGTGCAGTTCTATATACATATACGTAGAATTTTGCCAGCACACAAATATAATCAAATTAAAGGGTCAGTGACTCAGTGTGGCACATTGCTTGGACTTGTGTACAGCTTTTTTTGGCTGAATAGTTTAGGTTTCGGGGTAAGAATTTCCTTTGGTTGTATTCATTGGATTTGATATGGCTTATTATCTGGTATTTATAATAAGAGAAAATAATCTCAGTGACCAAAAATCCCGTATAATATACGATTTTAACCAACTTTTTCCGGATTTGCCAAAATGACCAACAAAATCGCAATGCGATCGCTAATTCGCAACGCGATCTCCATTATCGCAAATTCGCGTTGCATTTCCCGTTGCGATAGTTGAAAATCGTGTTGCGATGGTCTACAGTGTCATTGCGATACTGACTATCGCAATGAGATACTATTGCAATGCGATAATACAAAATCGCAACGAGATACTGACTTTCGCAACGCGATTCTGACTTTCGCAACGCGATTCTGACTTTCGCAACGCGATAATACATAATCGCAATGCGATTTTCAAAGCGCCATTAGTATCCTGGCCAAGTATTTTATTTTTAAATTCCAAACACGAATATTAATATATTGGAACACTGAACCGTCCACAGTATATCCCGTAATCGCAACTCATAACCTAAAACCTAAAATCACAACTCAGTCCCATCTCCATCTCTCACTCTCTCACCCATCTCTTACGAAATCCGTCCCCATCTCCGGCGAAATTCGTCTATCTCCATCTCTCAGAGCCACCCTCACAATCAAAAATGGAAAATCAACCAAATCAACCAACGAGTGTTAGTTTTTTTAATTATTTTCTTTTTGAATTTTTTGCATTATTATTAGGTTTTTTATATTGAAATTGATGATAAGTTTACTGGTAATTTCAATAATATATTAACCATTTCACTTAGATTGCTTATTAAATCAACCGGGAATCGCAACGCGATTTTAGTTTCGCGTTGCGATAGTCAAATTCGCGTTGCGATAGTTATTTTCGTGTTGCGATTTTCATTTTCAGAAACTATTCTTCTTCTACAAAGTGAAACTTGAATGAATTGCATTACTTCAACCAAAAAACAAAGACAAATACGAAATTCACAGTGTTGCAAATTTAAGTTTGAAGAATAAACTACTACTCTTTATGTTTATTATTGTTTTTGGTATATTTTCACAGTGTAGTTTTTGGTATATCTAACTTAGTATGTTTATTGTTTTTGTAGAACTTTTATTCGGCTCAATTGACCTTAAGAAATAAAGTCAGTCTGGCCAAAACAATTGCGTCGAAGCTTTCACCTGCACAAAGAAAAATGTTTGAGGATACATGCTTCGGGCCATGGCTGAAAGTACAACATCCCGGTGGAGATGCGATGTTGACACACCTGTTTCTTTAAACCATGATTAGCGATCTACCAGAGACTATACAACGTCGTGATGAAGAGATATGGTTTGATTTTCCGCCGGCGTATACGTGTTTTGGACGGGAGGAGTTTTGCTTAATCACCGGTCTACGCTTCGGACACGATGATGTAGGTCGGTACACTAGACACATTACCCGTCCATCATGGCTATCCCGGGTTTTTTTTTTTGAGATGGAGAGGCCGAATCTACACGTAGAAAACCTGACAAGATTGTTGAATAAGAAAGATGGTTTAAATCGGATGGATGACGTCGACGTTGTCCGAGTATGCCTTCTATTTTTTTGCATGTCGGTTTTTTAGGTAGAGAGGCCAGACAACCTATTCCGAATGATCTAATCAAATTGGTAGAAGACCTAAATGCGTGGAACATGTTTCCGTGAGGCTCGTATTTATGGAAAGCTATATGGATTAAGTTATCGTCTGCCTTGGATGATCGAAAAAGTTTGCATGGCGATGGTTTCAAATACACTTTGACAGACTTTATTTGTGCCTTTAAGATAAGAATTTTTATATAATGTTTCCAAAATTATAAGTAATTATTTAACAATTACTAATGTTTGTTATTATATTGTTTATATATTTGGATATTTGAGGCATTTCCCGTCATGAAGATATGCAATAAAAACATCAAATGATATTCCCATGGCTATTTCCTGGAAGAGGAAACAGACCTTGTAATGGGAAGATTTACTACGGTATACGACAATAAATAATGTAAGTTAACATAAACACTACCATATGTTTATAAAGAAGTTATTACTAGTACACGTTTAACTTTGTTTGAGCTTTTATATTATTAGGAGGCCAACACTCCTCTACAGAGGCTGACACCCACGGAAGCTGAGCTTGCCACTGATTGGTGACAAGCTAGTAAGCGTTTTTTAATGGAACGGTTGATGAGCAGTCTCCACTTCGGGAGCCATCACCTCGTCCAGAGCTATCACCTCACCCAGAGCCATCATCTGATCAACTCGATTATACACCTCTACAACGACAACCATCATCTATTAAGTCACATCATCGAGCCTCTTTTCCACCATCACCGCAAGATAGGCGACCGGCAAATATGCCACGACGTTTATCTCTATGTTCTCCACCTTCACCTCAACGGGATGAGCTAGGGGAGTTACGTGATGAGGTCAATGCCTTGCGTGAGGAGGTAGGTATTTTACGCAAAGACGATGGTCAATGCCACGATTTGCATTTCGCATTGCGATAGCCATTTTCGTGTTGCGATAGTCATTTTCGCGTTGCGATTTTAAGTTTCGTGTTGCGAAAGTAAACTATTCTTCTTCTGGAATGTTTATATATGTTGTCCTTTTAAATGTTTATATAAGTGCTTACTTCTGAAATGTTATCTGAGCATTTTGTGAACTATGATAGAATAATGACTTGGGTGAATACAATACTAGTTTGAAACATATTTGTCTTTGTTTAATATCATGTCTGTTTATTTATTGATTTATGTATTAATTTTTTTAGCGGCCCGATAAGGTAGATGCTTTACGTCGGGTTTTCCTTGCACGACAGAGTTCACGCATTAGATGGCGTGGACGTGCTATTACGTCTCCGTTCACCCCAATGGTGCGAAGACTCCGCAAGAAGTAGCCCGACTCACCTGTCATCCCTCAAGAGTCCCCTCCAATCGTTCAAGAGGCCCCTATCCTCCCTCAAAAGTCCCCCCCACCGTTCAAGAGACCACTGTCATCGTTGAAGAGGTTCCTCACACCATTCCAAAGCCCGATTCACATGGGGTAATATATCGAAGTATTGAGAAACCCCCACCGGTTCCGGACATGATGGATGAGAGTTGGCTCTCATATGAGTTACCGGCTAGTACCCTTCCGGTATCTGAAGTGGAGAGGAGACAACTATCGGAAACAATTGTGGATAATACCCTTTGGGCTAAGACCGCAGTTGATTTTTATCTACATGAGCGGAGCTAAGGGTGTTACATTGACATAAGCAAACTCAACGATGAAATGTTTTTGTTTCTAGATCGGTCTTGGTGGGGTGTGCTATTAGGGGTTGAAGACAGTGGCTATTTCGATAAGGAGGTAAGTCTTATATTTGACTTATATATGATTTTGATTAATTTTTTTTAAAAATTAATGTTATTATTACTTATAAAAAATAACATATCGATGTGTGTGTGTCACATCTTCTAATAATAAGGAAGTTTAGGAAAAATAAAAAAAATTCGCGATATACAATAATGCTGGCGGCTTTTCACGCAGTTCACTTGAAGAATTAACAAGATGAATCATTTTCGTTGGGTAACGGACAAGCTAAACTTTATCCTGCATGGTGGGAGGTCGATAAGGTTAGTGTTTATTTTTTAAATTTTTTAAAGGTGTTCATAAATAAGTGTGCAAATAAATGAATTATTACTTATGATTGCACGTGTTTATCCCTTTTTTGGAACGTCGTCATTGGCTTCTCGTCCAACTTCAGCTCCCATCCCTGAAGATATTAGTATATGACAGCATGATAAATTACATATCACTGTCTGATTTGAGAGATATTATCAAGGGATGGAGCTCTCATTTGACTAAATTCTTGGATGAGATTAATTATTGGACTCATTCTGGATACTTTCATAACGCGGATGCAGGTAGGCAACATCTCGTATATATCGATCTAGCCATATAATGTCGAAACCACAAGCCTACTGCAGCTCTATCTATATCGGTGGGAGGTAGATACTTTATACTTCATGTGATCAAACGGTCTAACGCCAAGCATACGAGAGGACCACAATCTCTTCTGGGTCCTTTCGTTTGTTGTGGTGCAGTCTCGTCTCTGCTAACTGTAATATTGAGCTTATTTGGCTTCTTGTTTCCAGAACGAGTCCAATAATTTATCGCATCCAAGAATTTATCCAAATAAGAGCTCCATCCCTTAATAATATCTCTTAAATCAGCCAATGATATGTAATTTATCATGCTGTCATATACTATTGCCTTAAGGGATGGGATCTAAAGCTCGACGAGAAGCCAATGGTTACATTCCAAAACAGGGATAAACACCTGCAATCATAAGTAATAATTCATTCATTTGCGCACTTATTTATGAATACCTTTAAACTCAATCTAAAATAAACACTAACCTTATCGACCTCCCACCATGCATGATAAAGTTTAGCTTGTCCATTGCCCAACGCAAATGATTCATCTCATTGATTCTTCAAGTGAACGGCGTTAAAAGACGTCGGCATAATTGTATATCGTGTATTTCTTTTATTTTCCTTAAGTTTCCTAATTATTAGAAGACGTGACACCCACGCATCGATATGTTGTTTTACAAAAAAAGACATATATTAGTAACTTACATAAATTTAAAAAAAATAATCAAATTAAAATATAAAAATATAAGACTTACCCCTCCATCGAAATAGCAATTGTCTTCTACCCCTAATAATACGCCCCACCAAGACCGATCAAGTAATAAATAGATATCATCGTTGAGCTTGCATATGTCAGTGAAACACCCCTGGCTTCGCTCATGTAGATAAAAATCAACTGCGGTCTTAGCCCAAAGGGTGTTATCCAGAATTGTATCCGGTAGTTGTTTTCTCTCCATTTCAGATACCGGTATGGTACTGGCCGGTAACTCATACGAGAGCCAACTTGAATCCATCATGTCTGGCACGTCAGAGGGTTTCTCAAGAATCCTACATATGACGCCATGTGAATCGGGCTCTTGAATGGTGGGAGGGACCTCTTCAACGATGACAGTAGCCTCTTGAACGGTGGGAGGGGACTCTCGAGGAATGATAGGGGCCTCTTCAACGATAGGAGTAGACTCTTGAGGGATGACAGGCGAGTCGGGCTTCTTCTTACGGTGTCTTCGCACTATTGGGGTATACGGAGACTTAATAGCACGTGCACGCCGTCTGATGCGTGAACTCTGTCGTGCAAGAAAAACCTGACGTAAAGCATCCACCTTATCGGTCCGCTAAATAATTAAATATAAATATCAGTGAATAAACAGACATGATATTTAAACAGTGAAAACAAAGATAAATATATTTCAAACTTTCAACCAAAAGACAAAACAAAGACAAATACTAACTTCACAATGTTAAAGAATACACAGTTTAGCAGAATTGGCAGCAACCGAATAAATTTACTTCAACCAAAAGATAAAACAAAAAGACAAATACTAACTTCACAGTGTTAATAAACAGTTTAGCAGTATTGGCAGCAACCGAATAAATTTACTAAGCAATCTAAGTGAAATGATTAATTTAAGTGAAATTGTCGAGTAAATTTATCATCAAGTTAAATATGGAAAATCTTAAACTTACCTCGTTGTGTAGAGTATGAACCTCATTCTACAACGATACTACCATCTCACGTAGAGCGGCAACATCACCACGTAAAGTAGACACATCCACACGCCATGCACCATCGTTATCGCGTAGAGTACCGATCTCCTCACGCAAGGCATTGACCTCATCACGTAACTCCCTTGACTCATCCCGTGGAGGTGTAGAACAGGGAGATAGAAGTCGTGGCATCTTTGCCGGTCGCCTATCATGAGGTGATGGTGGAGAAGAGGCTCGATGATGTGACGGGATAGGTGATGGCTCTCGTTATAGAGGTGTATAGTTGGGTCGATCAGGTGATTGCTCTGGGTGAGGTGATGGCTCTCGAAGTGGAGGAAGTAGAGGCTGCTCATCATTCGTGCCATCAAGAAAACGCTGAATAGCTTGCCACCAATCAGTGGCAAGCTCAGCTTCCGTGGGTGTCAGTCTCATTAATGGAATGTTGGCCTCCTAAAAATATAAAAACTCAAACAAAGTTAAACGTCTACTATTAATAACTTGTTTATATATGATATTATTTGTGTTAACTTACATTATTTATTGTCGCATATGGTATTAAGTCTTCCCAATCCAACAGACGTTTCCTCTTCCAGGAAATAGCCCTGGGAATATCATTTGAAGTTTTTATTGCATATGTCTTCATGGCGGGAAATGCCTTGAATATCCAAATCTACAAACAATATAATAACAAACATTAGTAATTGTTAAATAATTAATTATAATTTTGAAAACATTATATAGAAATTCTTACCTTAAAGGCCCAAACAAAGCCTGACAAAGTGTATTTCGACCCATCGCCCCGTAAACTTTTGCGGTCATCAAAGGCAGACGACAACTTAGTCCAGGTAGCTTTCCATATATACGAACCCCACGGAAACAGATTCCATGCATTTAGGTCATCTACCAATAATATTAACTCTTGAGGAATAGGTTGTCTGGCCTCTCTGCCTAAAAAGTCGGCATACAAAAGTAGTAGAATGCATACTCTGACAACATCGACGTCATTCATCCGAGTAAAATTATCTTTCTTATTAAACAATTTCTTCATGTCGTCGACGTGTAAGTTCGGCTTCTCTATTGACTCATCAGGAAAAACCCTGGATAACCATGATGGGCGGGTGATATGACGAGTGTACCGGCCTACATCATCGTGTCCGAATCGTAGATCAGTGATTAAGCAGAACTCCTTCCGCCCAAAACAAGTATACGCCGGTAGAAAATGAAATCATATCTCTTCCTCACCACGTTGTATACTGTCGGGTAGATCGCTAATTATGGTCTGAAGCCACAAATGGGTCAAATTAGTATCTCCACCCGGATGTTGTACTCTCAGCCATGGCCCGAAGCAGGTTTCTTCAAACAAATTTCTTTGTGCAGGTGAAAGCTTCGAAGCAATTGTAGTAGCAATGCTAACTTTATTCCTTAATGTCAATGAAGCATAAAAAAATTTCTACAAAAACAATAAACATACCAAGTTAGATATACCAAAAACTACACTGTCAAGATATACCAAAAACAATAAACATAAATAGTAGTTTATTCTTGAAACTAAAATTTGCAACACTGTTTTGTCTTTTGGTTGAAATGAAAATCGCAACGAGATAATGAGAATCGCAACGCGGAAATGACTATTGCAACGAGAGAATCGCAACGCAAAATGAAAATCGCAATGCGATTTTGGTTTCGCGTTGCGATTTTTATTCTCTCGTTGCGATAGTTATTTCCGCGTTGCGATTTTCATTCTCGAAACTATTCTTCTTCTGCATTACTTCAACCAAAAGACAAAACAAAGACAAATACTAACTTCACAGGCTAAACAGTTTAGCAGTATTGGCAGCAATTGAATGAATTTAATAAGAAATCTAAGTGAAATGATTAATCTATTATTGAAATTACCAGTAAACTTATCATCAATCTCAATATGAAAAACCTAAAATAATGCAAAAATTTCAAAATAAAAATAAAACAAAACTAACCCTCGGAGGTTGATTTTCCATTTCTGAATGATTTTAAGGGATTTTTGACTGTGAATGGTTGTGAGGGATTTCGCCGGCGATGGGGACGGAAATCTTCGGAGATGTGGATGGATTTCACCGTAGAGAGTGAGAGATGGAGATGTGACTGAGTGTTGTGATTTTAGGCTTGAGGTTATGAGTTGTGATTACTGTGGACGGTTCAGTTTCCGATTTATTAAGAAAAAATTCGTGTTTGGAATTTGAAAAAAAAATACGCGTTAATACGAATGGCGCTATGTAAATCGCATTGCGATAGTAAGATTCGCATTGCGATTTACGTATTCGCGTTGCGATTTTCCTAATTCGCATTGCGAATTATGAAAATCGCAACGCGAATACGTAAATCACAATGCGAATTATGAAAATCGCAACGCGAATACGTAAATCGCAATGCGAATTAGGAAAATTGCATTGCGATAGTCAGTATCGAATTGCGATTTACTTATTCACATTGCGAATTGGGAAAATCGCAACGACACTGTAGACCATCGCAACGCGATTTTCAACTATCGCAACGCGAAATGCAACGCGAATTTGCGATAATAGATATCGCGTTGCGAATTAGCGATCGCATTGCGATTTTGTTGGTCATTTTGGCAAATCCGGAAAAAGTTGGTTAAAATCGTATATTATATGAGATTTTTGGTTACTGACGTTATTTTCTCTTATAACAAAGTGCTAAATGTTAAGTGTGTTTTACAATTCATGCATTTTGATTTGAAAATCTGCAGATTATTGTATCATCGTGTGCACACGTGCACCCGTTTTTAATTGGATTATTGTAAACGAAACCATTCGATTTCTTTTGCAGAAACGACGAGAGGAGCTTCAAAGGCTTGTGTTGAAAACATTTTGATATTTCGATATAACAAATTAAGTTAAATGAATTTTAAGATTTTCCAAAATGATTCTCTAAAGTATGTTCGATAAATTTATTCGAATATAAAAATATTACTCCAAATATTTTAAAAATCATTTTTAATCCTTACTTAAGTGTAAAATTAAGTTTTAATCTTAAAACAATTTTAAAATAATCTTTCAAAGTATTTCGAACCATTTCAAACCCAAAATTTCCAGATTGCTCAGAGGGAACCGATTCCCTCCCATAGGGGGTACCGATTCCCCCTGAATGGTTTGACTCCGAGATTTCCAGAATGCTCGGAGGGAACCGATTCCCCAATAGGGGGTACCGATTCCCCCCTGTTCAACAGTCGAAATATTTGAATTTTACACTTAGGGAACCGATTCCCTATAAGGAGGAACCGATTCCCCCCACGCTCCAAGTTGTTTTATTAATTGTTTTCACACTAAAACGGTTATATTATCTTCATTAATTATCCCTAACGTTCAGAAGTGATTCAATGTGTATTTAAACAAGTTCTGAATCCCTTGATCAGGAAGAAATCATAGAGAAACAAGAGAGAAAGCATCAAACACAAAGTTTGTGCAATTCAAGCCAATTTTCATTCAATATTCATTTTGCTTTCAAAGAACACTTATTGTGCTCATTTGTAATTTTCTTTGAGTGTTCTTTTCTTGTTCTAGAATTGTGCAAACATCTTACCTTGTGAGGTTTTCTTGTAAGTTTGCAAATTTGTAATCTTCTCTTTGGGAAAAAGAGTTTTCTCAAGAGTTGGAGTATACTCTTGAGGGAATTGTAAGGTTATCTCTTTGGTCTCAAAAGAAAGAACAAATTAGTGAATTTGTTGGAAAATCCTTAGTGTGGATAGCTAAGGTAGTGGACGTAGACTTTATTTGATAAAGTCGAACCACTGTAAATCGCGGTGCAATTACTTTCAATTTTCTGCAAAAGCTTCCACAAAAATTTTAATTGCCAATTCACCCCCCTCTTGGCCGATTCCGTCAATCGATTAACTCAACAATTGGCATCAGAGCCTAACTCATTTGAAGGTTTTATCGCCTCTTGAGTCGATTCGGGAAGAGTTATATCGATTATTAAAGTCATCAATGGCCTCCGCTTCAAACTTCGACTCCGGTCTCGATTCGATGCCCGTCAACAAGCCTCATTTCTTCAATGGAGCTAACTATGCCTATTGGAAGAATAGAATGATATACTTCATTCAAGCAAGTGACATGGGAGCATGGAATGCTGTAGAAGAAGGATACAACAAACCTCTCACTCATCCAAGGTTGTGAAGTGAAGGAGAGACAAGAATGTTACAGCTCAACTCTAAAGCCATCCATATTATTTTTTGTGCTCTTGGACCAGATGAATACGGAAGAGTTTCATCGTGTACAACCGCCAAAGAAATATGGGACAAACTTCAAGTCACACATGAAGGTACAGATGAGGTAAAGAAATCAAAAATTAGTATTCTAACGCATAGCTATGAAAATTTCAGGATGAAACCAAATGAAGACATCAAAGCTATGACGGATAGATTTTCAACGATTGTCAATGGTCTCAAATCATATGGAGAGATCATCTCAAATGAAAAGCTTGTGAGGAAGTTAGTCTACTCCCTCCCAAAATCATGGCAATCAAAGAAGACGGCAATCATCGAGTCTAAGGACCTATCGTCCTTAACTCTTGAAGAACTTATCGGTTCACTCCTCACTCATGAGAAGATGCTCGAAGATGAGGTGGACCTTGATAAAGTTGAAGAGACACCAAAGGAAAAGGAGAAGAAGAAAAATATTGGAGTTGCTCTCAAATCCACAAAAAATGAGAGTGATTTTAATAATGATGATGATGACGAGGAAATGGCATTGTTTGCCAAACGGTTCAGAAAAATGATGAGACCTTACCAAGGAAGAAAATTCAAACAAAACGAAGGCCTCAAAAATGAACCAAAAGAGAAGGACCCAATCATTTGCTATGAATGCAAAAAGCCGGGGCATGTCAAATATGATTGCCCACAATTGAAGAAAAAGGGTCAATCAAAGAATAAGCACAAGGCTCATGTGGCTACATGGAGCGATGAAGAAAGTTCCGATGAAGAGGAACAAGAAGTAGCAAACTTGTGCTTGATGGCATTCAGGGAAGATTCTAAGGTAACCTCTAACTCATCCGATTTTGATGATTTATCTTATGATGAGTTATTTGAGGAGTACAATGGGTTGGCTTCGGATTATGAGAAATTGTTTTTAAAATATAAAAATGATGTTTCAAAATTGAAAAATGAAAACAAACTCATATCCAAAACCAACAACGATCTTGAAAGTAAAATCAAAGATTTGCAAATCAAACTAGAAGAGTTTTAAAAGAAAATTTTAGATTTGCAAAATTTACTTTCAAAGATCAATGATGATCATCAAAAGAAAATTGATTATCTTAAAACTTCTTTTGATAAAGTTGGAACAAAACATTTTGAAAGAGGTGGAAATTCAAAATCCAACTTTGTTAGAAAAAGTTTTAGAAACTACAATCATAGAGGTCCCCAAGGAACCTCTAATGGAAAAATCATTAGAAGTATGTGGGTTCCTAAAGAACTCATTACTACTAAAGATAAAAATATCCTACACAAATGGATACCTAAGGGGACTAGGATTTTGGAAACTAATGAATATGGACCCAAAAGAATTTGGGTACCAAAAATCAAAAATTAATCTATGTTTGTAGGGAAAGGAGCATTGCTACAAGGCACGGGAAACAAATTCAAACTCATGGTACCTTGATAGTGGATGCTCAAGACATATGACCGGAGACAAAAGCCGGTTCATTGAGCTTAACGCCAAAAATGGAGGAGAAGTGACTTTTGGAGACAATTCAAAAGGTCACATTGAATGTATTGGTACAATAGGTAATACCTCTTCCATACAAATTAAGAATGTTTTATATGTGAATGGATTAAAGCATAATCTTTTGAGTATTAGTCAATTATGCGATAAAGGATTCAATGTCTTATTTGAAATTAATGGTTGTAAAGTTATTGACATTGCATCTAATCGGATTATGCTTATTGGTCATAGAATAGGAAACATTTACATGGTGCATTTAGATTCTATTAATATGACTAATTTATGCCTAGTTGCTAAGGATGAGCATGATAGTTGGTTATGGCATAGGAGACTAGGTCATGCTAGTATGAGTGTTTTGCAACGGTTAATTCAAGGAGACTTAGTAAGAGGGTTGCCTAAGCTTAAATTTGATAATGATAAAATCTGTGATGCTTGTGCTAAAGGAAAATAAAAACGAGTTTCTTTTAAATCTATTAATGATGTATCAACTAGTAGAGTATTACAATTGATCCATTTAGATCTTTTTGGGCCAACTAGAACTACTAGCTTGGGAGGAAAACAATATGCTTTTGTCTTGGTAGATGACTATTCTAGATACATTTGGGTTCTATTCTTAAGTACTAAAGATGAAGCATTAGAAAATTTCATCATATTTTCAAAAATAATCCAAAATGAAAAAGGTTACTCTATCACTAGTGTTAGAAGTGATCATGGCACTGAATTTGAAAATCTTGGATTCATTGAGTTTTGTAATTCTAATGGTATTAGCCATAATTTTTCAGCACCTAGAACCCCTCAACAAAATGGAGTTGTTGAGAGGAAAAATCAAACTTTAGAAGAAATGACTAGAACCATGCTTTGTGAAAATAATTTGCCAAAATATTTTTGGACGGAAGCCACAAATACCGCTTGTTATGTTGTAAATCGAGTAATGATTAGGCCAATTTTAAAGAAAACTCCATATGAAATTCTCAAAAATAAAAAGCCTAACATTAGCTATTTTCATCCTTTTGGATGTAAATGTTTTGTTTTAAACAACGGTAAAGAAAATCTTGGCAAATTTGATGCTAAAAGTGATGAATGAATTTTTCTGGGTTATTCCTTAAATTTTAAAGCTTATCGTGTATTTAATAAAAGAACTTTAGTTGTAGAAGAGTCTATACATGTTGTTTTCGATGATAATCCCCTTCCGAGGAATGATTCTTCTGTTAATGATTATGTAGGTATTGTACAAGCAAATGACGTTAGACATGACGTTGGAGAATCATCATCAAAGGAAGAAACAAAAGATGAGGAAGCTCATGATCCCCTCGAGAATCCAACCATTGAAGAAAGGGAAGTATCTTTTCCAAGAGAGTACAATTATGTCAATGATGGTGAAATTATAGGTGATCCATCAAAAGGGGTAACTACTCGATCTTCTCTTAGAAATATCTGTAATTATGTTGCATTTATTTCATGCATAGAGCCTAAGAACATCAAAGAAGCATTAAAAGATGAACATTGGATTATGGCTATGCAAGAAGAATTAAATCAATTTGAGAGAAGTAAAGTATGGACATTAGTTGAAAGGCCTAGTAATAAATCTATTGTAGGTACTAGATGGGTTTTTAGAAATAAACTTGATGAAAGTGGTATTATAATGAGGAACAAGGCTAGACTTGTTGCTCAAGGCTATACTCAAGAAGAATGCATAGACTATGATGAAACATACGCTCCCGTAGCTAGGATGGAAGCAATTAGAATGTTATTAGCATTTGCATGTTTCAATGAATTTAAATTATATCAAATGGATGTTAAAAGTGTATTTTTAAATGGTTTTATAAAAGAATAAGTGTACGTGGAACAACCGCCAGGTTTTGAAGATTCAAATTTTTCGGATCATGTTTTAAAATTGACAAAAGCTCTTTATGGTTTAAAACAAACTCCTAGAGCTTGGTATGAAAGATTGTCAAATTTTTTAATTGAAAAAGGTTTTTTTAAAGGAAAGGTTGACACTACATTGTTTTTAAAGAGAAAAGGTAAAGATTTATTAGTAGTTCAAATTTATGTTGATGATATAATATTTGGTTCTACTAATTATGTTCTTTGCCAAGAATTTTCTAAGCTAATGCAAAGTGAGTTTGAGATGAGCATGATGGGGAGCTCTCATTT